AAAAGAAAAAAAAGGAGAAGAAAAATAAAACCCTAAGCCTCCAAAAACCTTGCACACAAGAGAGATCGAGATCTCTAGTCCTAGCAGACAAGTTCCAAGGTGTTGGAATCCATCCCGACGTGTGGATACGTGTAGAGGGCGAGGTAATTTCCTGCCTTTCGTGATCAGACGTGTTCTTCGATTGATACAGGCCCCGGATCGATTGAGGTAAGCGTTCTAACGTTTCTATGATTCAATAGTAGCATGGTTCTAGGGTTTCATTAAAATTTTTGTTTTATATCCGCTGCGCAAACCCTAGAATCGATCTCTTAGGAATTAGATTCGCTCATGAGATCCCAGGAAACCCCAACATCGTGTCCCACTACGGCACACGATCGGGTCATTTCGCCAAGACGAGAGTAACATCGAAGGTCCACCCGATCGTGTCACCCTGTACTCACATGATCGGGTCAAGTCGCGAAAACCTGATTCTACATCAATAATCCCACACGATCGTGTCTCCTCTACTCACATGATCGTGTCATTTACGAGATTTTTCGGGAATATTTCCAAATCTGGCCAGAAAAGAAAGACTGAACTAGGTCAAGCCACCAAGGAGGGGGCATTCAGACTTGGACGGAGGAGAGACTTAGAGCACACCAGAAAAGGGGGAGATTATCAAGAAGCAAGAGATCGGAGTAGAAGACGGAGATCACGAAACCAAGAAAATCGACTAAGAGTTTCTTCCTTATTCTATTTTACGATGTTTTGTTGTAGTGATATGAACACCGTCAACTCGATGTTTAACGAGTAGTTCCATAGCTGTAGGTTAGGGATTTGCTTTTTAGGGATCTTTGGTTTTTAATTCCAGACTTTTTGGATTTGTTTATTCTATTCAGTTTATTGAGTTGATCTTAATGTGTTTGATCTCGTTTGCCACTTGGTTGAATGAACTTAGGATTTTAATTCACATAAACATATGGGATTATAACCTAGAAATAACTCAATAAATAGGACAGATATCACATCGGGAGATGGGTATTTATCTAGAAATCATGATAGCATTCGTTCATGCATTCACAGTTTTAGACTTCAGGTTGCAGACAAAGTATGCAACCTCAGATTCTTCGCCTTCTGAATCCGGTTTCTTTGGTTCTTCATGCTGTTGTGTACCCCTGCCTCCGCTACTTCTTCTGCTCCTTCCTCTCCCCTTTCCCATTCTTCCTCTACCTCTGACAAGTGTCTTGCAACGTTTATTCTTTGCAGGGGGTTCACTCGATTCTGGTTCAACATATGAACTTCTTTTTGCCGGTCCTTGTCTTTGTTTTCTTTTCAAAGGAAATTTGAGTGGTGAAGTTTCAGAGCTAGAGTTACCTTCACGGTACCAGACGTTGGGACTGCATGAGGAACTTCCTTTGGGGTTTCAGATGGGGCTATGTCATCCTAGCTTTCTATTGGGGTTTCAGAAGGTTTTGGGAGATTCAAATCAACAATCCCAGCCTCTAAACCTTCCTCACAAGCTTGAGGGAGATCCACATCAACATTCTCACCCTTAGAACCCTCGTCACAAGCTTGAGGCAGATCCACATCAGCATTCCCACCCTTAGAACCCTCGTCACAAGCTTGAGGTAGATCCACATCAGCAATCCCACCCTTACAACCCTCGTCACAAGCTTGAGGGATATCCACATCAGCATTATCAGCCTTAGAACCCTGCTCAGAAGCTTGAGGGAGATCCACATCATCATTCGCAGTCTTGTCACCTTTCTCAACAGCTTCACGAAGATCCACATCAACATTCCCAGTTTGAGGGACATGCATAAAAACATCCGCTCCTCCAGCATGGTCTTTAGAAATTGCAGTGTTCCCCCACACATCATCATTCCTAGGTTGCACTCTATACGAAGAGTTCGCAGAGAAATGACCAGACTATTTCAGAATATCTTTCAGACAAGCAATTAACCTCGTCTTAGATGCTTAGATCGCTTGACCCATGTGATCAATGATCCTGGCCTTGGATGCTTTGATATCCTGCTTAATGAACTTCTCTAATGCATCCACTCTTGAAACTGCCGATCCTCGCATTCTTGGAGGTTCACCCTCAACCTGAGTCTCTTCTTCTTGAATTTCTTCTTGTTCTTTTCTACTTCTTCATCATCATCTTCTTCAACTATCTTAGTTTTCCCTTTTTCAAAGAAGCTCTGCATCTGGCATCAAGCTCACGAATGCTATCCCAACAGATGCTTTGCGGATTAAACTGCAAATGTTGCATCCATACACTTATCTTTGGATCACTACTTCCCTTGTAATCCTCCAGATCATACAGAAGTGCTTCTTCATCCTTTCCCACTTGTAGAATACTTTTAATACCCTGAAATAAAAAAAATATCACTTTTGACCCGTGTGACCCATGTGACTCATGTGACCCGTGACCCATGTGACCCGTGATCCATGTGATCCATGTGACCCGTGACCCGTGACCCGTACCTGTGATTCAATTCCAATCTTTTCCATTACAGCAAGGAAGGTCCATCTAAGCCCGAGTTTGATTACCCTCTTGCACATTCTAGGACAGTTTGGGTCTGCACCTGAAACATCTATGTACCACCCGTTGACACCCAAGCTTTCAATGCACTCAAAAGGCAGCAACTACAACATAAAAAAAACTAATCAAATCAATCCAACTTTCAAATAATTTCCTCGTAATTTAATGAATAACTTACCATCAAAGGGATTATAAACCCCGGGCAATGCCATTTTGTCTTTGGTTACGCACCGAGACTCTTTCGCACTTGATCAACTATTCGATCAAAAGTGTATCGACCCCATAGAAATCATTCACAGAAACGTAAATCATCAACCATGTCGAACAAATCATGGTTGATTTGTTCGGATGACAGGGCATGATCCAAGATTCTGGCCATCAAGCAGAGAATAGCCAATCTCTTACGATCTGCTGCCCTCTGGGTTGGTATATATCTCAATTTCTCCACCACATCATTCAAACAAACATTCTTACGTCCAAAAGTCTTTTTCCTGAACTCACTCTTTTTGAAGCTCTCTCATTCTTCTGGATATTTCCCACACTTCAAACCACATATAAGTGTGTGCTCAATGATTGAGTACCTCACGGGCACACCATTGAGCACGAACCACAATTCCTTCTCATCTTCCACTTTAACAGAGCGGTTAATGAGAACTCCCGCAGGCGCCATCTTTAACTGTGGATCCCATTGTGCGTGGAATAGATGTTGGAACTGTGATTCTTTCTCGAAGTACGTCCATTCATCCTATGTCAGTACTTCTTTAAGCGTCTTCAGTGTCTCATAGGGATAACACTTCGTATTGATCTTCAAATAAAACTGAATGTCTTCGAATTTGTAGACAAATGGAAGCTGCAAAATAAAATAATTGTTCGTCATTGTGATCTTTGTGACCTGGGACCTGAGACCCGTGGCTCATGTGACCTATGTGACATGTGACCCGTGTGACTCGTGTGCGGTGTTGTGAGTTATATTATATTATTACTATATAAATCTCTGTGATCCATGTGACATGTGACCCACATGACCTTGCGACTTAGAAAATCATTAAACTTGCCAAGGTATTCCGAAATCTCACACCCACACTCTAACTTTCTATTTCGAATTCTTAAAACCCAAATTATATATTTCAAAACACAAAACCCTAACTTTATATTTAGAAATCCCAAAACTTTAATTTTCAATTTCGAAATCCCTAAACCCTAAATTTCTACTTTGAAATCCCAAATCATCCAACAAGTTTAATGATTTTACTCCAGGATCAGGTCATAGAAGAAAAAAACGGAGAAGAAGATATAGACAAACCTCCTGTTTCTAATGGGAGATCTTTGTCCGACGATGACGGCGATGAACCGGCCTGAGACGCAGATGAAGACGAAACAGAAGGCACATGTGTTCTTGGATCCATGGGTGTTTGATTTTTCACACAAATCACAAGAGAGATACCGAAATTGTAAGGAAAATGACCTCACTTTTCTGAAAATCCCGGAAGAGAAATCGCGCAAGAGAGAGAGAGAGAGTTTTCGAAATGCTGCAAGAGAGAGAGATCGGGTTGCAAGAGAGAGTGAGAGTTTACCGAGGGAGAGAGAGAGCGTTTTTTTTTAATTCTTAAAAAGTTAGTCGTTTTTTAATCGAAAAGGTATGGTTCTTTTCGTCTATAGCTTATTTTAGTTTTTATTTTTTTTAGATTTATTTTTTGAGGGTAGACTATGAAGTAAGAATAACATTTTAAGGGCATTTCTGCTTATATTCCCCAATAAACAAATACTAAGCGATAAAAAAATAAGCTTAGATTATATTATATGTATAACAAATGAAATAAAAGACAAAATTCCTTTTTTGTCTTGAACACGAAGTGCTGACCGAAAGAGGAAAATCAAAGGCTTTTGAATTGAAGTTCTTTCTCCACCTTATTGGCCCACACGTCTCAGATCCTCTCCGGAATTCTGTGTTCGAGAGAATCCCATCCCACCCATGCTATTCAATTTCCTCGAATTTCTTTCTTTCGATTCAATCTAGGGTTTTTTTCTTCCTTTGGTTCTTCTAATCTGGGAAAGTATCTTCGATCTAGGTTTTGATCCGGAACAACGATGATTCAGCTCCTGTACACAGTGATCTTCGCCGAAGTTGCGTTAATCATGACGCTTCTCTTCAAGACGCCTCTTCGGAAGCTTGTGATCATGACGCTCGATCGGATCAAGCGTGGTCGCGGACCCGTCGTCGTCAAAACCATCGCCACCACCGTCTTCGTCGTCCTTTTGTCCAGCGTTTACAGTATCCTCAAGATCCAGCGAGGATCCGTGGAATCTGGCGTCCTCAGTCCCACCGATCAGATCCTCATGGCGAAACACATGCTCGAAGCTTCTCTAATGGGTATTGTTCTAATCGTCTTCTCGGTCTCTGTATTTTTAACTTCCGATTTTGAATCGTTTAACGGGTTGATCGAATTCATGTTCTTCGGTAATGGGTCGGGATTATTGAGGAATGTAGGAGTCTGATCCTTCGTAGTTCCCTGATGTTGATGTCTAATGCTCTCATAGAAGTTCGATTCCTAAGATGCAAACATGGGAAAATCTTCGTGTTCGTCGGAATCGTCATATCCTTTGCAATTCTAAAATTTGTTCGTCTGATTTCAAACTTTGCGTCCGTATGTTCTTGTTGCCCTGTGATTTGTCTGATAGAATAATTGAGAATTGAAATGCTGTTTCTGGTTTGGTCGCGTTCATAGCTTATACGGGATCGCTTTCTGTCCTGTTTTAGCTGAAACCCGTTTATGGATGTTTGTTGAAACACGATATCCGAATCAATGTTTTGATCTTATACTTGAGATCATTGTCATTCACAATGTAGGGTTTCATGAAACTCAAAGATGGAGTTCGTTTCCATCATCTGTGGTGTAACATTTCTTTGTTGCGCTTGATCGATTGTGACTTCGTAATTGCAGGATTCGTGCTCTTTCTCTCTCTGATGATTGACCGGCTCCACCATTACATCAGAGAACTCCGCTTGCTGAGGAAGACAATGGAAACTGCAAAGAAACAAAACCGGGGTTTCGAGGATGGGAAAAACGCAAGCGCTGAGGAAGTCAAAGCCCTCGGGGAGGAAGTTGCGGCGTTAAAGGCGAAGATAAAGAGATTGGAGTCTGAATGCGAAACGAAAGGAAAAGAGCTGAAATCCGCTCAAGCCGAAACAGAGGCTCTGAGAAAGCAAGCGGACGGGTTCCTTCTGGAGTATGACAGGCTTCTTGAGGACAACCAAAATCTCAGGAACCAGTTGGAGTCGATCGACCAGGGCCCGGGTGGAAAGAAGACAATGTGAGAGGAGGGAACATTTTGTGAAATGAAGCAAACACCAAGGTTAAAGTTACATGTAATATCTCATGTAGAGCAATGTTGAATGAAGAGGTTTGATCCTTCTTCGACCTCGACTCTTTACAAAGTTTTGAGTTTATCAGCGGAATATCAAGAATTCGTCTGAAATGTCACCTCAATTTCAACAGTACGTCTTGGAAAATAAAGATCAAACTACCTTTAATAAATGACATCTTATATATAAATAAAGAGGTTTAAAGTATATATCATACAGAGATTTTCTTAATTTTCATTGGTTCGATGTCACGCAATTTATCCCGCTCATCGTGTCACATATAACCCTCAACGTCACTTCACACTCTCACCATGGTTTGTCTTTTTTAGTGCTTCATACAAGTTCGGTTCACTTCCCGGTCCGTTGGGCGGGGCCCGTTTGCTCCATGATGGTTCCTCTGTCGAATTCCATTTGTTCCTGTTTATTTATGTCAGCGAGTCGATCGTGATCTTAATGGGCCGTTCTTGGGCCGAGCAAAATTCGGACACGATCGGTCGATCGTGGGTTTAGAATGATCGATCGATTCGTCCCTCGATGATCGGTCGCGGGTTGTCTCCTTCAATTTTTCCTGAGTTGAACTATCGTGCCATCGTCGTAACGCGATGGATGGATCGCGCGTCACGATCGATCGTCTCGTCTGTTCAGACGAAATTCTCTGATTTCTTTGCCGATTTCATCCAATTTTTCTTCCATTTTCATCCTCAACTTCAACCCAACATTCCTAAACCCATAAATTATCTAAAAACACCAACTTCTACCATTAGACGGTGAGAAAGAAATAACCGAAACCAAACCGAACCACTCACCATTTCCCGACGATGCTTCTGGCGGTGTGGACGGTGGCCGTGTGAAGGGTCTGATGGTGTTGCTCGAAGTTGGTGGAAGCTCCGATTGGATTCCTCCGGTGACCGGAACCGCATGGGCAATGTCTCTCTCTCCTTCTCTCCCACTCGTGTCTGTGGGATTTTCGTCGAACGTATTCGAGAGAGAAAGAACGAAGACTTGTTTTAAGCTAAAGGAGCTAGGATCGTGTGGAGCTGTTTGAGGGACACGAGTGGCGTGATTTGGGTGATTTCCGTGGAAATTTTCGCCCAGTGGCGGTTTCAGTCCATCACGATTGCGCCATCTGATGGCCGATCGGTCGATCGTGTTTGCATCAACGATCGCGCCACCGTTAGTAACGGTCGATCGTGACCTGTTTCACGATCGAGCGATCGCCTCCGATCGATCGTGTTTCTTCTTCCATAATTCCTTTTGTCATTTTTGATCGTTTCTATGTCAATTCGATCCATTTTATCCTAGAAAATAAATTAAATAATCTTTTCCGGGATCGAAGTATTATAAATCTTCCCTTTAAAATGAATTTGTCCTCGAATTCGGAATTGCAAGATCGAATGAAGTTTCATATTATGAAAAAAAAAACAGTAATTTTTTTTGTCAAATTGAAAAAAGTTTAGTGTTTGTTTCCAGATTTTTCCCGGTGAAATTCAATTTAGAAGTTAATTCTGAATGATCCCAACTATACTATGTATATTCCTTTTATAATATTATTATTTTCATTGAACGATTCTTTCGAGAATCTCTCTAGGCTTTTCATGGGTGATATACCCTTGTCTCTCTCCATTTCTTTATCCGCCACGATCCAGCCACAACTATCGAACAGAGCCACATTTTGATGCGTCTCTCCACCGATCGTAACCTTTCTTCAACGCTGGAGACCCAAGAGACTGCCCGAGATGGCAGAAGAAGATTACCGGTGGAGAACCCTCACGGGTAAAATCCAAGTGTTCTTCTCTGATCTGTTGGTTATTGTGAATTCCTCTCAAAGAGTAAGTCTAACACCTCACTCTTCGTACAAATACACTAATCAATATAGTCACATATGACCCACACAAATACATTATCACACCCTTGTCTTTGGCGTATTCCTCTCAGAGAGATTCTCTCTCTCTTTCCTTTGAATACACAAAAATACTCACACATAAAAGACAAAGAGAACAATAATAAACAAACTGCAACTCTCTATAATTTTTCTGCAACATAATATACATATGCACGAAATGTAACTGTGCAAATAGTTACTCACCCACTAAAACATTAAACTACATTTAAAACTTCCATAAAAATGCAATACGTAACATAAACCAACTAATACACATAAACCATATAATATAAAATACATGCAAAGTCTTCTAAACATAATTTGAGCCACAAATACTAACAAACTCCTCCTTGGCTCAAAATCCTTCAGAAACACCAATCAATAGAGCAATCAAAAGAGTTATTCCTCTTCTTTTTCTTCAACCATATTTGCTTCAACTTCAACATTCTCTGTGTTCTTTTCTTTGCAAATCTTCTCAACATGTCCCATTTTACCGCATTTCCTGCATTTAACATCAGGTCTTTTCCAACATCTCCAATATGGATGACCTTTCTTACCACAATGCTTGCACGGTTTAATGGATTGCTCACCAAATTTTTCATTTCCTGCAGAATTTATTCTTCCTTTTGCTATTAAAGCACCTTCCACCGAATCCTCCTTTCTCATAAGCCTTCTTTGTTCTTGTGCTTGAAGGGCACTAAGAACCTCTCAGAGCTTGATTTTTGACATATCTTTAGTGTTTTCCAAAGATGTCACCGTTGCTTCAAACTTTTCCGGTATAGAAACTAGAATTTTTTGCACAATCTTAACATCTTCAACTTTAGTGCCAATAATTCTTACCTTGTTGATTATATCGACAAGACGATCAACATAATCTTTTACTGACTCTCTTCCCTTCATTTGTTGTCGCTCAAACTCTCGCAACAAATTCATGACTTTCATTTCGTTGATTTTTTCGTCCCCTTCATACTCCTTCTTCAAGAAATCCACATCTCTTTGGCATATTGCAACCCCATGATCTTCGTGAAGATTGACGGTAACACTGCCGAGAAGATGCAAGACATGGCCTTTGCTTTACTCGCCATTCTCTCCTTGTACAGCTTTATTTGATTCGATGTAGGATTAGCACCCAACGGAGTAACTTCATAGTCCTCTTCTACGGCTTCCCACAGATCCGAGCCCTTCAAAAACGCTTTCATCTTCACAAACCAGACTTGGTAATTCTCACCATCAAACACCGGAACGGGAAGAGTTACACCAACACCAGCAGTGATTGCGACTTCTGGCTACTATGGATGATTGAAAAAATGATTGGTGGAATCACAATCGCAACAAAACGTTAATAGTCTAATCACAACTAAAAAGTTGCGTTATGATAATGGTTTTGCAACGTTTTTTTTAAATGACCAAAATATCCCTAATATTAATTAATATAAATACACATGTATATTATATATAAATACATTCACATACATATAGATACAATACATATATATACATATATACATATATATATATATATGCATATATATACATATATATATATATATTCATATATATACACACATATATATACAAACAAACACATATACATACATATATATGTATATATATATTCGCAATAGTCACCAACAACAGTTTTTTTATTAGTCAATACCAATCACCTTGAATCATCAACAAACATATCATAAACGTTCACGGCGATTGCGATTCCATCAATCAATAACTCAGATGATCTGGTATTTGTGACACCTGCAACTTGTATCCCACAATACGGGTTGTGCCACATGGACAATTAAAACAAAACACAATTCCAAAAATCTGCGGCTACTGCTGCTCACGATCTGAAACGTTGCGTAACAACGTCCTAAGTTAATTGCTTAGAGAGTGAACTCGAGCATAACCCGGAGTTCTATTCTCATTTAATCAAGGAAAGCAATACATATATACGCTAATAATCTAACAGGTATGAATCGAAACATGGAATCACAAGTATCACATCAGCAATCACAATCAAGTCCGTACGACAAGTCACAAGACGTAGTCCGTCAAATCTCTACTTAGTTTATTTGACTAATAACGTTTACACGTTACATATATAGGTGCTTATGTTTTTTTTTATAATCAGGATGGTTCTCCGGGTCTTCGACCCGACTACATTCACCCTAGGTCCGGAATCAGTCTTTGTATATGGACCATTGTAGTCCAGAAATTATATTTCTCTCCACCAATGGAATCGAACTCAGAATCTTGAGGATTTTCGATTAGAGTACAGAGAATTATATATATATATATATATATATATATATTAAAAAAAATTTCTGGATTGTTACAGTATCACAATAATTTATTTCTTATATGGCCTTCTCGAGTTTCAAGTTTGGTTCTAGAATTGAGCTGATTTGTGATGGATTCCAAGAAAGTCTCAATTGAGGAGCTGACGTGGATTTATGAAATGTGAGTTTCATGGGGTTTTGAAGGTTATATTTGTAATTTCAAACTTGAGATCGTTAGTTTAAATTTTGAAGCATTTAAGTTGAGAGAGAGAGAAAAAGAAACATGTTTTTCCAAAAGTTCGCAACGGATTCTTTTAACTAGGGATATTTTTGTTGTTTTTTTTTTAAAAAAAAAATTGGATTTGAAGTACATGTATTATTTTAGGGATAGTTTTGATATATTTCCGTTTCAAGGTCATACCAAAAAAAAAATTCCGCTTTAAGGGTATGTTTGTAATTTCGGACTTGGGGTCAGTGTTGAATAACGGAAAAGGCCAGTTTCGACTCTGCGATATAAAATAGGGGAGCTCACGATGCATTCTGTGTGAGTTTCATGGGTGTTTTTCTCTCCAGTTAAATTCGCAAAATCCGATCGAATCAGCAGCACGACACATCACCAAAACTCTTACACAACAACAAATGAAGGGAGAACGATTGATTTACTCCGTTACTGACTCCATCCCGAGCAAACTCCTCATCTCTTCCTCGTCGAATATCTCCGACCACAAATCTTCCTCGTCTCCTCCTCCTCTGCCGCCACCGTTCATCTCGGGTTGCCTGCCTCTGCCGCGCTTTTCCAACACGCTCGCGGCCTCGTTGTACGCACGTGCCGCTATCTCCGCCGTCGGGAAAGTCCCCAACCACCTCCGAACTCTTGCTTGTGGGTCCCATATCTCCGCCGCCCATTTCCCCGATGGCCTCCGCCTCACTCCTTTGTACTTCTTCATCTTCTCCTGTATATACAACCACAGGTGTTCAGAATTAGGGTTTCGACCGATTAGCGCTCTCTTATTTTTCTCTTGATGAAAGAAGAACGGAGTGTGTGTATATATATATTTGATGGAGTGAACATATAAAAGATATATACTTTGATGGATATACACAATTATGGTTACCTTAACTTGTAAATTTTATTTAATTGCTTTCTCATATATGGTAAGTAGAGCTTGGTTGACTCTTGATGATATTAACCATTTGTTTATATAGAATTAGTAAGCCTACTATACATACATACATACATACATACATACATACATACATACATACTTCATATTGATGGACAAATACATATACATTCAAATCGAATAGAACACTCACTATAAAAGAGAAAGTAACGTACACATGTTCTTCTCCTAATGACATATTGCGGGCCGAAAGCGCAGCTGCCATAGCAATGGGCGTGGCAGAGCGGGCAAGGGCCGTGGTCGGGGACCGGAAACATTTCTCCGGCCGTAAAAATTGGTGCTGACGTGTCACCTCCGGTGGTCTCTGCCGATATCACCTTCCGAAGGGCAGAGACTATGATCTCATGCTCTTGGTCTCTCGTCATCGGAGATGGAGAAGCTGAAGATCCCATTTTCTTCAAAAGCAAGAAGAAGAGCGGGAGCAAAGAAGAAAACCCAAGATTTGAAAAATACAAATAAAAGCGTTTATTATATAGACAGATATGTAATGGCCGCGTAAGTCAACGCCAAGTCCGTATGTTTCAATCCAAACATGTCCGTACGAATATAGATGCATTTGGACAGCTTGGAATTTTACACGCGCCGACGCGCCCAATCTTGATGTTGAGTTGTATTCTTTGTTTTTTTTTGGGTAGATGAATTGTATTCTTTCATTTCCTGGGCCAAATGTGTTGAACCAATGTGGACGTCTTATGAAGCCAACTAAGTTATAAACGAAGCATGATTCAACAAGATTAAAAAAAAAAAAGATTTCAGCATGCATTCACAATCAAGAGTGTGATTGATTCAATCACGATTCTTTCCATACTTAGCTCTACGCTGTCTCTCTCTTTCCTTGTTTGTATAGGAAATGATTTATTTTCCTTTTCCCTTCTAAGTACAGGTTAGGAACATATTTTATTTTCCTCCTTTTTTTTGTCTTATTTTTCTATTTAAGTCCTTGTATATTATTTTGCAAAATCATCAAGAAATAAATTTTTTACCTGTAAATTATATTTAAAAAAATTATAGAGTAATGTTTCTTGATATCTTGCCAGTTAAATTCAGGAGAAGCAGAAAATCCAGGTGTAAATTGAGAGTAACAAATTCGTCAAGCTTACAGCAACTCCAAATATCAAAGCCATAGAAGTCCACGACAGGCGGCGACTGGCGAACCCTAGGGCGACACATGCCTTCCTCTGAAGACTCCGCGACGAGTTCCCTGCTGGCCGGCGGGCCAGCCAGTGAGCAGCATCCCCAGCAACATCTCGCCAAATGGCAAAGAAAAAGAAATCCCCTTCCTCAAAAGCTCCTCGTCGAGCAAAATCTGCACCGCCCACCCCTGTCGGAGCTAATACTCCACCGTCTCCCCCCTCTTCATCCCCACTAGTGCTTCCTCCACCTCATCCCTCTCCTCCTCAGACCTCCCCCTCCCAGATCCCCAACCCTAGCACTATCGCAGCCCCCCCCCCCCCCCCCCCCCCCCATTGACCCACGGATCCCAAATTCCTCCAGCTCAGTTAACACCGGCCCGAATCCCCCTCTTTTTACCCCAGATTTTCTCCAACCACATGATTTTCCTCCGTTACCTAGCTCACAGAAACCGCTCATCACCTCTTCCATCACTCCATCCCAACCGTGCGGGCAAGGCACCCTCCCTGCTAAGGAAAGCACCCCCCATCCTCCCCATTCTAGCCCCCAATTTCCGTGGGCTAAGAGGCTAAGGCCACGGCCTGCATCCCGCAATCTGTCGAGGATCGCAGCCCCAACTTACACGAATGATGGAATTCCCAGAATTCGTGTTCCGAGCTCAGTCTTTTTGGAAGCTTCCAAAGTTTGGGAAGGCTATCTCATCTGTCAGTTTTACGGCATGGCCCCTTCTGCTTCTAAGGTCTTTCAAGCTCTCAACCCCATATGGGGTAAACGAGGGAAGCTGATTGTACGCAGAGTTAGCAACTCCGCATGTCTTGTTCACATCCCAGATTTGGCCACTAGAGAATGGGTTTTGGAGGTGGGCATATGGCGCGTCGCAGACGTTATGTTCATGCTTTCTGAGTGGACCCATGTTGCTACTCTTCGGAAGCCTGTTCTGAGCTCTGCCCCGATATGGGTCACCCCCAAGCACATCCCGGCTGAGATGTACTCCCTCAAAGGTATTAGTTACATCGCATCAGGCATTGGTGAACCCTTACATACGGATAAAATGCGACTTGACCCCTTACACATCGGGGAAGCCCGAGTCAAGATTGAAGTCCAGTTAGGAGGCCCTTTTCTGCAAACTGTTGAAATTGAAGACGACAGTGGCGAGGTCATCAGAATCCAGGTTGAATACGTCTGGCTCCCTCTTCGGTGTTCACAATGTAACGACTTTGACCACAAACCACCTCACTGTCCGGGCATAGTCCAGCCTAGTGGCACTATGGTACCGACCACTTCCAAATCTTTGAACCAGACTACCATGACCCAGAATCCTATAAATCCCTTACCCAAAACTCCCCAAGAGGCTGCTGTTGGGTTTCCTGGGATCTCATAAGCGAATCCTATTCCTAAGAGATCAATTCTAGGGTTTGCGCAGCGGATGTAAAACAAAAATTTTGATAAAACCCTAAAACCTATCATGCATGATCTTGTAGAAAACGATAGAACGCTTACCTCAATCGATCCGGGGCCTGTATCAATTGATATGTGTTGGTTTAGTGCTCTATGATGTACTGATTATGAGCTTTGTTCAGATACATTCGATGTATTGATACTTTCTATATGTTTTTTTATGAGAGTATCTTGTTCATTACATGTTCCTGCATGCTAGATCTGTTATGAAATCCATGTATAATTATGAATGATACTAAACTCCCTAGTCTTGTGTCATTATGGGAATAACGACACAATAAGACTAGTATGATGTGTGATTGATGATCACATAGATGATCATAGATATTGGATACGATCAAATCATAGGTATTCGTTGCAGAACGAAATACTGGACTGACCCGCATGAGATTGTCACATGGACTAGCGTCATGACTTGAATCTCATACGACGATTCCATGATTGGATCCTAAGACCTGAGATATCTACAGAATCCAACATGAAGAGTTGCGTGCTTTGATTACGTCAAACGTCCTGCGTAACAGGAGGACTATAAAGGCGTGTATCAGGTACGAAACGAATCATGTACTGGATTGTAGATAGTCAAGACGGGATTTGTACCTCTCGTAAAAGAGAGAGATATCGCTGGGCCCCTCGTGTGAGCAAGACTGTAGAAATGTGTGGCCGCACTATAGACGAACATCGTCTATTTCAGACAGTCGAACTCAGTGAACGAGAAAGCAGTCGAATCAGATAAGGTGGCTTGTCCATGCCTTATGTTCGACATATGATATCGCGATACAAAAGGATCATCAGTCGGAATCATCACTGGCTTTCGTATGATCACAAACAAACTCTATTCGAGATAGGTAGTCATAGTGTCTTGCTAGAGACCGCCTATGACTTGTATACCCGAAATAGAGATTTCGGGTTATACTGCTATTCGAATGAGCCTACAGGGTCATACACGCAGGGAATGACGAAACCGCACGAGAAAACGATGAAAAACCGAGACAGAAGGGTCTGGAACGGACGGACCGGAAG